TCCCGCCCACGTTGTAATCCTGGGATCAGGAGGGATCGGCAAGACTTCTGTGGCACTTGCCGTTCTGCATTCGCCAGGCGTTAAACGTCAGTTTCTGAATCGGCGTTTTTTCGTTTCTTGCGATGCCGCAACCAGTGTCGACGCTCTTGTCCTTGAAATCTTGAGGGTCTTCGGGATGACCTTGGAGAATGGTATAGCGCCTACGACAAAGGTTCTTGCTTTCCTAGAAGGATCATCTTGCATCATCTGTCTAGATAACTTCGAAACATCATGGGATGCCGATCCTCGCGCCGTAGAAGCTTTTCTCGCCAAAATAACCTCTACGCCCAATACAGCAGTCCTCCTGACGAGTCGTGGAGCAAGTAGACCTCTGCAGACGAACTGGACAAAACCCCTCCTTCCTCCCTTGAAACCACTCACACTAGATGCCGCTCTCGAAACCTGGGACAGCATATGTGGCGAACATGATTCGTTTGCGGAATTGCTCGTCAAAGCGGTCGACTGCGTTCCGCTCGCTGTCACCCTATTGGCTCATCTCGCGGAATCCGATTGCGCAGAGGTGGTGTGGATGCTTTGGAACAAGAAGTTCACTGCCATGGTTCGCACGTATGATAGCGAGCATCGGCTGGGCAGCATGGAATTCTCCATCGAGCTATCGCTTCAAAGCCCCCGTATCGCTGCAAATCCACACACTCTTCGGGTTCTCAGTGTGCTATCCATGTTGCCGCTCGGGATACGGCTCGCCAGTGTCGACGCAATGGAGGAAGCCTTCCAAGGCTTACTTCCAGACATTCTCACCGCTAGATTGGTTCTCATGCAAACCTCTCTAGCTTATTCTACGGACGGCTTCATGCGGGTCCTGTCGCCAATCAGACACTACATCCAGAATCGGCATCCTCCAGAAGACCCCCTTCTAGACCACCTCGAACACTATTACCTATCCGTCTCATCTCAACCTACGTGGAGAACTTCGCTGGCGGTTCGTCAACACATATATATCGAGCTTGAAAACATCGCCGCTGTATTTGAGTTTTCACTTGAACGTTCTTCCGCTCTCCCCGCGCTCATCAACGGAATCCTCGTTTTCTCAGACGTATGTACAATGTTGTGCATCTACGACACGAAGTTGGTGACTCTTGCCGCGGCAGTGGCCGCAAAACGCGCTGCCCCGCTTGAGGGACACTGCCTCGGTCGCCTTGGATTTAGTTTCTACTTCCTCGACCGCCTGGACGACTCTTGCGACGCTCTTCAACGATCAATCACCATCCATGCTGCCACTGGGGACCGAATTGCGCACGCTGCGGACCTACGTGTGCTTGCTCGCGTGCACATCCGACAAAAGCGAGTGGACGAAGCAGCGGACGAGCTGCTTCGCTCAGCCACGCTGCACGCCGAAGAAAACGACATGACTGGGAAAGCACAGACATTATGGGTCTTGGGAACGTTGTACCGTCGGGAGAATCGGATTGCAGAGGCACAGCGCATGCTGCAAGAGGCGCTCGAGCTCGGCGACACCTGGAGTCGGCCCGACGTCCTGCTTGATCTCGGTCACCTCAACATCCAGATCGGTGCCTTCGTAGAGGCGGAACGTGTGCTGCTAGAGGCAGCGGAACTGCATACGCGCCTCGAGAACCAGCTCGGCCGTGCACATGATATTCAGCGTCTTGGATACCTATACACACAGTTAGGACGCTTCGAGGAGGCACACACGATGTTCGAGGAAGCGCTCGGGCTGCACGTCAAGACGGGCTCACAGAGAGGGCAGGCGTTCGACTATCGCGGACTTGCGAAGTTGTATGTGCGCCTGGATCGCCTTCGAGACGCGGAGGCAGCATACAAACACGCCTCAGAGCTGCAGCGCGAGGTGGGCGAGCGTATAGCACAAGCCGATACGCTATACGACCTGAGCGAGGTCTACACCGGCATAGGTGAACTAACGAGTGCAGAGACGGTTTTACGCGACGCGGTGGAGATTCACCGAGCGGCGGGGCACGGGCCTGGACAAGCTGAAAAACTGAAGCGACTGGGTGATCTGTACCTCAGCATGGACCGCGTAGCCGACGCGCGAGATGTGTACTCGCGGGCAGGAGAGATATATGCACGGACAGACAGATCCGCTTACGATACTACCGTTCAGACAGTTAAAAGGCTCGAAGAAAAGCTTGGTAAATTGTCAGTATAAGTAAATACTTGGCTGCAGTTTATATGTGAGGTGTCAGGACACACCGCAGTAGAATACGTAGCCAGTATATTAATAATGGAATTCAACTAACTGCCAATCACTTTTGGCTCCATATTGAATTGCGTCAACAAAAAAATTACCACGACTCCGAGAGTCGTATTCGGACTCCGTATACACGAAGATGGAGCCTATGCGCGTACATAAAGTCCCTATTTGATCTATCCATCGAAATAGATGCGAGGAAAAGATGTTTTCACCTAGAGCCTAGGTACCATGAGCGTCGTTGGCCAACCTAAAGTATAAGTACACGCCTCTACCTCGCTGCATCGTACACACGTTTCTTCGGCCATGTCCACGAGAAAAGAAAAGAAAAACTATTTTCTGTTTCCAAGTGATCGGATATGCGTTTCTACAGATACTATCAACGACTGGGTACTGGGCCAGTCGGGGTAGTGAGCCACTTGGATAATACAGGGATTGACGTTGCAGAAGTTCGTGGTTTGGTGCTTGTGGGATGAAGTACAATGTATAACGATGTTGTACATCAAATTTTGAGGCGGAGTGATGCGTTGATCAAAAGCTGTGCCCCGTCTGGTTCCGATGGGTAGGTGGGAATTGATCATTTCTTATCTCCGAACGGATGCTGCGCTCTTCCTTTGCCCATTCCTCAGCCAATTCGCGGCCGATTCACAAGTTTGAGGGCTCGTTTTGTTACCTCTGCCTCAAATAATGTCCTCAATGGACATTTGACGCCAGAATGAACCGAAATCCCCCGTTATCCCATTCAAGAATGGCGAAACCTTCTCTCAGTTGACGCAAGACAGACCACTCTATAGCGACCCACCTGACATTGCTGTGACCGTAGCATGTGGTATGTGCACTCGGTACATGCACATCAATGACCTCCCAGCTCCATCTCCTCCTCTACCCTTCAGCTTCACGTTCGCTGTGGGTCATTTCACCAGACCACCCGATTTCAGGGTCGGAAATAAATGGATTTTGTTCGGAGAGTTATTGGTATGGAGGAACCATCCAATGTGCCTAAGTATGTACCAATGCTTCCTATTTAGCCTTCTGAAACTCAGTTTCGACCAAGATTGCTCTCTGTGCTTGGTAATGTGCGCGATTTTGTCAATGTCCCGATTCACCCATTTTTAGTGCGGACATTGAAAATTATTATTACCCTTGTACGCCTTTAATCCATGTTTTCAGTGTATAGAATCATGTACTTGGACCCTCTGAACAATTTCGAACACACGGGGCCGCACAGTATGAGTGCGACCAACTGATTAGCCTGGTGGCCCACTAGCCCGTTTATTGCCATTTTGGTGTAACACCGAAAATATATTCGCCGCAGGCTCAAAACACCACCTAAAATTGGCCCAAAGTATCTCATCTCACTCTTAGTATGTTGGTCCTTACACAAGGATCGAAATCTGGGTATCTAGTGCATTCTACAAGCTGGCAAGAGGCCAAAAGCGCTAAGGTGGCCCAGTACATCAGGAAAAAGCCAAATGCTCTAGAGTACCGGTGGTGACTCTCATGGTATTTGGTGGTCTATAAGAGTCTATTGACTTGCGTGCCCACTTTGTGTGTCTATCGTGGTCTATACTTGTCTCTGGAGGTCGAAGGTTCATTCTGAGTGTTGTCTGAGTGTCTATATAGGACGGTCTCTGAAATGCAAATTAATAGTACGGGCCAATTGGTGAATGCATACAATGGTAATCTGAGTCTCAAGTCTCGCAGGCCAATCTCGGAAATTTTTGAAAGCTGCGGCCTGAGTCGGAGTTACTCGGGCCGGTTAACTCATGCCATCACTGCCCGTTGGCATGACATTGACATTCAAAGTCCGCCATCACGACGCGTGCCTTGGAAGTTTCTCCTTCGCTCTCCCATCTCCCTTTCCCCGCCTTCGTAATCTAGACTCTGAAGTGTCTCAAGCCACGTTCCAGCATCAACAACGCAAGATTCAAAACCTGATACTGCAAGCCTCGTGGCCAAATGCCACCATTGCCGCCTCGTTCCGCGTACGCCAACCTGCAGGCGTCGTTTCAAGCCTCCATACCTTCCAGCTTCAAGCCTCAAGCCCAAGCTTCAAGCCTCAAAATTCAAAGCTTCAAGCCTACAAGCCTCAAGCCCTAAGCAAACCACAACCCTCTTGCCCACCCACGTTCTTGTCCTCAAGCACCAAACACTTGTTTGACGTCAAGCCGCAAGATTCATGTTCGTCGGATTGTCCTACACACACGGCGCAGATTACTTTTACTTAGCCTTTTGTCCTCGTTACTCAATATATTATTGTTATTGTTATTGCACTTCCTATGGCCGTCTTGGGTGTCTCTGAGTTCTCTTATGACTATAGCTTCTATTGGTGCTATGGTGTTGCTGGTGGCGTCTATGATGGTCTATGAGAGTGGACCCACCCCCTCCCCCCCACCTCTCATAGACATGGGTTTACTATGCCGTCTATTTTGTCTATGGTGGTCTCTCATAGACCACAGAGCAACTTCGGTTTTTCCTGATGTAGCCGGTCACTGATAGTAAGCATGTACTAGCAGGTACGGCGAGTTAAACTTTGACATTTATGCTTACCTTCCTCAAGTTGGAGCCTGGACATAAATTACTTGCCGAACTGCAGCTGAGTCGCGGGTGTTACCCACAGTAGCGGATAAGCGTCGGGTCGGGTCAAAAAAAATTAGTCTTGAACAACGCGACATTCCGCGTCCCGAGCTTGGGGGTAACGAAATTACAAAGAGCGGCTAGAAATGAGGAGGTGGTACGAAGAAGAAGAAGAAAAAGTCAAATCTGTTCTGGCGAATTCGGGCACGGGGAATCGAACCCCGGTCTGCTGCTGCGACATTATTGCATGCAAAGTTGCAACGAATTGGGAGTCATGCGCCCTACACCATACCCGAGGTATTCGCCGTTCTTTGCGCCTGGCCAAGTCCGTGCATATGTTAGAGCACGAGCGGCTGGGCTAAGCCCACTCGGCGAGAGCGACTAATAGGGAGAGCGCCTTGGTCGAGTTATGAGGGAAAACCGATGTATTCGAGGTTCTTCTCGATAGGGAATCCTATCGAGAGGCGCTACTACTTATACAAGATGGGCGGGCCGTAATACTAATGTACTATGAGTAACTCGGAAGCTAACCGAGGCCGTTTAACCGACCACGGGCCCGATGACTACTAATGTATCTCGTAGTACTACAACTATCGTCCATGGGTCTCGGTATAATAATATCCGTTATTAGTAATGGTCCGGTACAATCGCGTGAGGGAAAAGAACATATCGCCGAGCTCCGATTCCACCTTCAACACTCCCCCGCGACCTAAGTCGTCCTAGACGGCGGTCAAAGTAACGCACTTGCGAAGGTGTTTGTCTCGACGCGATTGGGCGGTACGGCGGCGTAGTTCGTTAGTGTCCGCTGCGTAAGATGCGAACTCCAGAGGAACGAGCGGCGCCGTGTATGCGAGACTGGCGGCATGAGGGAGGAGAGGATAAGAAGGGAGTGTAGCCTGTGCGTCCCGGGCGCTCCTACTGTTCTGGGCGACTCTCTTCCTCATGGCGGCAGGGTTGGTGGTGCGGCATGCGGATGCTGCATGGCCGCGAGCGTGACACTTAGCACATCGGGGTTGACAACCCGGAGGCTGGGAAGTGGACGTAACTCTGGAGGTGACTCCCCCGGGAGTTGAGGACGCTGGAACTGGCCCCCTCTCGAGGGCGAGAATTCGGGCGTCTAACCTTGGCACTATAGCTTGTAGTGCGATGGATATCTGGTGGAGAGCCGTTCCAGCCCATTGGACAATGGCCGAACTAGACGATGACGAAGTCGCAGGTCGGTTGTTGGCAATGGCGTTGCGGATATCCAGAAGAGACTGGTTTATCAAGTCGGCCAGCGGTGAAGGGTCCGCCATGATAATTCCAGTGGTTGATCGAGAAGTGTTAGAGCACGAGCGGCTGGGCTAAGCCCACTCGGCGAGAGCGACTAATAGGGAGAGCGCCTTGGTCGAGTTATGAGGGAAAACCGATGTATTCGAGGTTCTTCTCGATAGGGAATCCTATCGAGAGGCGCTACTACTTATACAAGATGGGCGGGCCATAATACTAATGTACTATGAGTAACTCGGAAGCTAACCGAGGCCGTTTAACCGACCACAGGCCCGATGACTACTAATGTATCTCGTAGTACTACAACTATCGTCCATGGGTCTCGGTATAATAATATCCGTTATTAGTAATGGTCCAGTACAATCGCGTGAGGGAAAAGAACATATCGCCGAGCTCCGATTCCACCTTCAACAGCATACTGGCGAAGCACGTGGGTAGACCCACACTGGAGTGGCATTGGACGCAAGGTGGGGTAATGAATGAGGGCCAGGGCGTGGTGAAAGCAACAAAAAGCAGGGAATGGAAAATGTACGTCTGCCGGCTCAAGAAATATATTTCGTTGCTTTGAGAGCAAAGTGGCATGCACTAGTCCCGCTACCCGTCCATCCTACGATCACCCTTTTCCCGTAGCGCCACGCCCACAGCCCGCCAACGCAATTACAGCACCGTTCCAACAACCAGTCCCACCAGCGCCAGCACGCCGCCCATCCTCATGCCCGCGCCGGCGCCCATCCGCTGCGCAGTGCTGGAGGACGGTGGCGGCGAGCCGCTGACGGTGTTACTCGGCTTGCTGCTCGTGTTGTTGGGCGGCAGCTGGCTAGTGTTCTGGTTGGGCAGGGGCGTGAAGAGGGGAGGCGATTCCTCGTGTGTACGGAGTAGGGAATAGCAAGGAAATGGAAGGGAGGAGAAGGAGAGCAAAGAAAAGACGCACGTACCCGCGGGGCACTGGGAGCTTCCGCTGGATAACGACTCGTCCGCGGTCATGCGCCGCCCTGGTAGATGCACATGATCTTACTGGCTGTGCGCCCGTGTTGGGTGTGCCGTCGTCGTCGGTGGGCGTGCACTGGATCTGCAGCTGCGCTGAGGCGAGGGCGAGGAGCGAAAGGTGGACGAGGGTGGAAGAGGAAGGGCGCATGGTCGTTAGTGGAGTCGTGTTAGCGTTAGTGAAGTGGGTGTAGGGTAGAGTGAGGAGAGTCGCTGGGTCTACTGGTTATTGATTGATTGATGGCGCGCCGAGGTGCCGTGACGCAGGCAAGTTCTGTTGTGAGTCTGGATTTGTGTGGGCGCAAATGGAGAAAAATAAAAATGCGGCGAAGGACGTAATCCGTCCGCAGACTTCCGAGTCAAATGGTGCGTAGTAACCCATATCGAATTCGTTGCGGTATGCAAGTACATTGAAAATTGAAATCAAGCTGTCGGGTACGTGGCCGCTAAATCAGTGCCGCGAATAAAATGAGACAATAAACACGAGCCAATCTCAAACGCCAGTCTGCGCACCATGCCCGTGCTTTCAATGAAATTATACGACATATTAGATCCCGTGTGGGACAGGGCTCGTCACGCTGAGAGGGAGCAAAATCGCTGAGAGCAAGGACTTGGAGTCGGCTAGGGAGCAAAAGGAAAGACATATATATAAAAAACAAAAGAAAGAAAAGAAAAGCATACGCACGCAGAAGGGAAATTCAGGCACGGGGAGTCGAACCCCGGCTTACTCCTGTGCCATTTCTCAGCGATCCACAAATCAATACGGGGAGCAGTGGCAGTGCACCGCGCACCATACCCGAGATATTTGGATTCCTTTGAATCTAGCTAGGGTAGGTGAGTGATTTCCCGCTGTTATAGTGGGATAGAGAGTCAATCCGTGCGCCGGATAAAAGAAAAGAAAAATAATCCCAACGTGACATCCCATGCTTAGAGGGAACGAAATTCGGGAATGCTGAGGGCCGGGAGCAAGAAGAAGAAAAAAACTGTGATGAATGGGATGTATTCGGGGACGGGGAGTCGAACCCCGGTCTACTCGTTGACCAGAGTACATGGAACAAGGCGTAGAGCTGTGCACCGTACACCATACCCGAACTATTCTTGTTCAACCCAACCTGGGTAGGTACGTTCATAAATTCAATAGGTGACCAGAGCATCACTCCGTGCGCTGCATGAAGTAAAATATAATAATTATGAAGTGATATCCCATGCTTAGAAGGAACGATAGTACGAACAACACTCAGTTGTGCGCCGTGCACCATACCCAGCTTTCATACCATCCAACTCACCTACGGAGGTGTGGCTCCAATCTTGCGTGATATCCAACGTCAAGAAAGTTCTACGGCATATTTCCAGTCATGATGCCGCCGTTAAAACAAATAGTATTCGGAGCGTGGGCTATTCGGGTACGGGGAGTCGAACCCCGGCTTGCTCCGGGGCTTGCCCATCAAAGGCTGCTAATGGCAGGAGCGGTGCGCCGTGCACCATACCCGAGGTATTTACAATATAATGGGCTTGGGTATCTGTGGCTCTGACTGTGCGCTAAATTCAAGCAAGGGCAAAAGAAGAGAAGATTTGAGACACGCTATTCGGGCACGGGCAATCGAACCCCGGGCTGCTCCTTCGATGTATGTTCAACGCTTTGTAAGGAGCGGTACACCGTATGCCATACCCGAGATATCCACTGTTCTTTGAACTTGGGTGGGTGCGAACAAGTGAGAGGTGAATTCAGCCTGAACCGGTCTAGCCAATCCGAGCGCAGTATGCCGTGGCGCGCTGCGCCGCACACCATGGTCAACGCATCTCATTCGTCTGCACCCAATGGATATACGCTGTGTGGGAGAAGGAAAAATTAGTGGGCCCCCAAAAAAAAAGTTTTCCAAAGAATGGCGGATTCGGGTACAGGGAGTCGAACCCCGGCCTGCTCCATTCAGGTTGAGTTATGTAACGCGGAGGAGCTGTGCACCCTGCACCATACCCGATTTTCTTTGCATCCTTTGAACCGGGGTAGGTGTGAATAAAAAGCGATCAGTGTGTTCAGCGTGAAGCCGGTCCAGTCATCCGAGGTGCGCTTTAAAAAAAAGAGCCCCGAAAATCAATTGAATACGAAATTCAGGCACGGGGACTCTTCTCCTGAACTTGTGCTTGAGGCCAGTGCTTCGCATGGCAGCACGAGTCCGGTCTTGTACGACAGTCCATCAGACACACATGTTCCAGATATTCTAAATTGGAGAGATCTGCTCAGAAGAAAATCTTTTGAACTGACGACCCCATGCACCGGGGATTCAAACCCCATCCATTCCAGCCGCCGCATCTCTGTTAAAGCTACTCGGTCTCCGTCCAGGACTAGTTTGCATTTTGGATAGTTCGCGCATCTCTTTTCATCCACTACCTTTCTCATTTCCGCGCTTCCTGATTCGTCTTGACTCGGACTGCAATGCACCTCGCACTGCGGACTTCGTATTGGTTCAAATTATCACAACTGCTACTAGATGCTACTACTTACGCCTTTCGAAGACATTCATTTCCTAATTCACGATGTATTCACCTACGGGTCCTCCTGTCTTGCGGATACCTGCTCGGTCAAATACCCCATCGAACATCCAAATTCCCTCCATCCAATGGATGTTCCTCCATATTTTCATGAAGCTCAGTTACAAGTTTACTATCAGCATTGCTTCCGTAATTCGCAATTTCTATCTTAGTCAATTATCAACCACACGTCAATAGGAGATTGCATGCACGTGGAATCGGTGTCTTAGATTCTCCTTTCCGCCCTCATCTACGGGATCTCATTCACATTCACGCTCACTCGGTTTATCGCCCTCTGTGCTTGGATCAAATTCATCCACAAATATGCAATGCAGCAAGGAATTGTGGTTCCCTGACGGGGACCTCGTCGTCCAGGTAGAAAAGATCTCATTCCGCATATACGCGAAGGGTCTTGCCGAGAGCTCCACGGTTTTCGCGACCATGCTCGCCCTGCCGCAACCTGTCGAGGGCAACACCGTGGATGGACTGCCCGTGGTGCGTCTGTTCGATGCCGATGCCGATGCAGCATTGCTCCTAAAGGCCCTCTTCGATAAAACGTGCGCCATAATTTGTGTCATCCCCGCTCAAAACATAACCGCAGCATCTGCTCCAGATTCTTCCAACCACCACCAGCCCGCACAGGGCTACGCCTTGTTCTCGACATCATGCGCATGAGCAACAAATATGACGCCCAAAAACTCTTCAAACGGGCTGTGCTTCACTTGGAAGCCGTTTACTGCACGTCTTTGTCCGCACTCTTGGAAGCCCCACGCCATTCACACATGAAATACCCCAAAGGGTTGCTCGCAGGCCATTTGTCGGTGCTCGCAGCAGCCGAAAAATTCGACGTTCGTTGGATCCTACCCTGCGTATACTACGAAATCTCGTGCTACCCGATTTCCGATCTCCTCGACGTCGGGGCGGCATGGGATGCCCTCCCTCGTACCACCCGGCGAGACATCCTCTGGACTCACGCCCAGCGCCTGGACCGCATCCGCGTCATGAACCAGTTCATGTTCGCCGACGTGTGGGGTTGTGATTCGCCGGAGTCGTGCCCATACAACAAGCTCAACTGCGCCGCGAGCCTCCTCGGCTTTATAGGGTGCGACGAGGTCATAGATCCGCCGCGCTACTGGACGGAGGAGGAGCGGGAAAACTATAGGGAAAGCGTGTGTGAAGTCTGCCTGGAGGACTTTGAGAAGGATATCAAAAAGGGTCGGGAGGAGGTTTGGAATGATCTGCCGGAGGACTTTGGATTCGACAGCTGGACTGAAGTGCACAAGATGAGGGAAGAGGTGATGGGAACGGTGTAGCGTTCGCGCACTGTAATTCATCAATGTAACGGTACGCTCTCACGGTTGCGTTCTTATTCCCTTTTACATACACATACACATTTCTCCCCCATCCTTTTTCTTTACCATCCCATTTACTCGGAGGCGTCGTATGTCTATTTCCGTCTCCATTGTTACGACCCCTTATATCTCACCCCTATCTATCCTATCATATGAGCCGGTGATATACGTAGTTAGTTCTTTGGTCAATACTACCACCAGAAAGCTGTGCCGGAACTAGCCGACAGCTCTAGCTCTCTAATCCCAAGGGATATGAGCAGAATTGTGTAGACGTTTTTCAGGCGCGGCGCCTGTGCAGCCCCATCCACGACAATAACCTCGCGTTTGTTGAGGCCTCAAAAGGACGGTAGTACAGCTTTTAACGCGGTAGAACCGTGGTGAAAATACTCACGCTTGACGTAGATGTGGCATCTTCAACAACGTCCACGAAATCGTGTCTTGTTTCAATGTTTGAACTCGTTGCAGGTCATGCCGCTTTTGATTCGAATGTCGGGAGGTTCCGCGACCACCTCGAATGTTCCGCAACACGAAACTCTGCATCCATTTAGTATATCCCTAATTAAATCACTCCCGCGAGGGCCTTCTCAAAATTTCAATCTTATCATACTTTATCTTATCTTATCATGCCGGCCAAAGCGAGAAATAAAAACCGCTGCAATGGGAGCACTGGGGCAGAGGGGTAAAGACGGTCGGAGAAGCTGTACGAGAGGTACATGATGACACACAGGGAGACGTATTTACATAATCTGTGGTAATTCGGCAGGGAAGTCCATATATGCAAATTCCACGCTGTTTGCCATCCGTCGCTCCAAGTCCAAATGAGGGAGAATGAGGACTATCCCCGGAGGCGAACGCTGCGCGGAGGTCGTACGGAAGTGTGTAGGGAGAGCAACAGCCATACGGCACTACGCCACAAGAACGGCGGAGTCTTCACAACTCGAGCGCAGGCTGTGCGCCGTGGTGAGGGAGACTTGAGACTTCTGCGTCCATTGGTGACGCTCCTAATCAGTTAGGGCCATCTCATACATCCGCCTCATCTACCACCTCGAGAACCCTGAGCTGCACAAAGAAGAGCGCAAGAGCTGGGAACTGAGGAAGCCCTGCTACGTTGGGAATGCGGGCATGGCCTGGGACGAGGGTGTACTACGGGAGGATGAGTGTCGATGTCGTGGAGCGCAAGGAGCTGCCAGCTGCGAAGCTCCAACCCTGCAGGCGTCAGCGCCAAGGGATGGTGCAAGAGCTGCAGGGGTTCGGAGAGGAGCAGGATGCGCGCTATAGCGCCTTCTCACAGGCGGCTCAGAAGGCGTCCGTGTCGTCCAGAGCGACCGTGAATTTCTCGGATTTTCGTGAATGGGCTAGGCTAGCTACCGACGACGACCACGCGACCAACACCGGTGCGATGGATACACATGTTAGCGCTGGTGGAGAAGGAAGGAGAGAGGGTGGTGAGTGGAGGTACAAGGGAGCGCGAGGGATGGACGATATGCGAGAGGAGCGTGCTGGAGCGCAAGGAGGGAAGGAGGAAAAGATGGGGTGGAAGAGAACTTACCAACGCCGCCGAGGCACAATGGTCTTGGCGCGAGTACTACCGCTAGTCGCGGCGCGCCACTCGGACGACACGGAGTGGAAGTAAACCTGCAAGACGACGATCAGCGACGGTGTCAATAGCCGAGGAAAGTGGAGCCTCACCGTCGCATAACAAACGCGATCGCGCCGCCGCCAACGCGGGTGCCGGCGCGCACGTTTTGCCGTCTAGCACCCTAAGCCTAATGCCCATCCTCAATCCCATCGCCGCCTCCACACGCTTTACTCACATGCAAGGACAGGCAGGCGCAACAGGCCGCAGCGGAGAATACCGACAGCGGGGGCACCACACTCGCTCCCGATCCGCGCCCTCTCCCCGCTTCACCCGCGCCTCCTCCAACACAATGTTCTCCACCCACATCTCCTCCACACCCTCGGCTCCGTCACCAGAGACTCTCCTGGCTTCTACGACTGTATAACCCCTCCGCCCCTGTGCATCCTCCTCCTCCTCCTCCTGCATGTTCTCCACCCGATCGGCGTCCGCATCCGCATCCTCCTCCTCCCCCACGACCCCCACCCACTTCTTCTCCATGACCCGCCGTCCCACAGTCCGGCACCATCAACCCTGATCCCGATACTTGCCCACTGGCGAGGTTACTGTCGCTGCCGCGCGCGCCCCATCGCTATGCCCATGCCAGAGATCCAGGCCGTTCTCGAGGCGAGCGACCTGGTGCGCGAGGGCGGCGCGAGCGCGTCGACCGAAACCGCGCTGCGGAAATGGGGGTGGGCTGTTGGGCGGCCGGTGTCATCTCCGCGAGACGAGACACGGGGCGGGGGGCGAAGACCGAGGACCGCGACCAGCGACAGGAGGCGGAGACGAAAACGTCGTCGGGCGGTTGGTATACGCGCAGGGTGGGACACAAAGACGGCGGTGCGTCGGACAACGCCCTCGAGGCTCACAAGCAGCGCAGTGGGACGCAGAGTCGCGCCGGGAATCCAGCAGCTCGGGGCGCGTGATCTGGGAGACGGCGGAGAGGGGAGCTCGGTAGGAAAGGGCGATCTCGTCCCGGCGTTACGGCGCTGGTGCTAAGGCCGCGGCAGGCAACGGGCGATGGGCGGTTGGGTCATGCTGGCGGTCGCAGAGCTGGGGACAGTACGACACAAAGCCGGCGATACGGCATTGGTAGAGAAACTAACAGGAAACCCGTCCAGAGCAGCAGCGTTAGGGCGGTTTGAGTAGTAAAGCAGCGGTGGCGAAGAAGATGTGACAAATTTGTGACATTTTTTGGACACTGTATTTTGGATCAATTTCATTGCTCTTTTTCCATTTTCTAGAGCTGACTTAGACTCTTGTTGGTCTTGCTGTCTTGCGACACAAGCATCAAAGAGGCCACAAGAGCCAAATAAGGCAAGTCGCCTGCGAATTTACTGATGTACTACACCGGGCGCAAATGCAGGGCATGGAGACAATCGCCATGATCGTGGGTGGACTCTGGCTGCAGTTGACCATCGTGCCTCATACAAGATGTATGCACACTGCATTAGGTAATTTTTCAGATAGGGCTGAAAGTCTA